AGAACAGAACTAGAACGGAACTAGAACAGAACTAGAACAGAACTAGAACAGAACTAGAACAGAACTAAAAGAGAACTAAAACAGAACTAGAACAGAACTAGAACAGAACTAGAACAGAACTAGAACATAACTAGAACAGAACTAGAACAGAACTACAACAGAACTAGAACAGAACTAGAACAGAACTAGAACAGAACTAGAACAGAACTAGAACAGAACTAGAACAGAACTAGAACAGAACTAGAACAGAACTAGAACAGAACTAGAACAGAACTAGAACAGAACAGAACAGAACAGAACAGAACAGAACAGAACAGAACTAGAACAGAACAGAACAGAACAGAACAGAACAGAACAGAACAGAACTAGAACTAGAATAGAATTAGAACAGAACAGAACTAGAACAGAACTAGAACAAAACTAGAACAGAACTAGAATAGAACTAGAATAGAACTAGAATAGAACTAGAACAGAACTAGAACAGAACTAGAGCAGAAGTAGAACAGAACTAGAACAGAACTAGAACAGAACTAGAACAGAACTAGAACAGAACTAGAACAGAACTAAAACAGAACTAAAACATAACTAGAACAGAAACCCTTCTAATCTTCAAGACATGACGTCTCGAAAAACTGATTCGATTGTCTCTGTATTATTCTCATGTTTCAAGTGCAAAATTTCATTGAAATTACTTCTTGTGGTCTTTAATTTAGGTGGAGTTAGTTTTTTTACTTATTTTCTTTCCACATTTTTATATTTTGTATGAAACATTTTTGGTTTTGGGGATTTCCTTTCCCCCATTGAATCCGCGTCTGCTTTAGTTTGAATAAAAAGTTTATATATACAGATAGGCGGATAGACAGACGAATGAGGAATTTACTCCAATTGGTGAACAGCAGGTAAGTTCAATCAGGGTGTAGTTTTTATAAATTCTAGTGCCATGAAAAGGTAAGTCTATTTAACCCACGAATATAGGCAAAACCTGACTTCTGAAATATAAGGTCGTGTTCTAAGCAGCAGCTAGAATCAGTTGGAATCAACACCATCGTAGCTCTTTCTCTCTCTCTCTCTCTCTCTCTCTCTCCCTCTTTATAATTATTGTATTTGAAATTAAAAACATTTTAATAAAGAGTTTATTATTCATCCATTTTTAATCTTGCAGGTATTGAAGCATTAAAAATGTACTAAAGTTCCAAATCTTTCTTCTTAAATTGTAACAACAAATATCCCTTATAAAACCACTTTACTTTCTCACTAAAGTCACAATTTTTGACCATAAACATTATTGTAAAAAAATCTAATAAATTTGACGACCCGAGTAGGCTTTAAAGTAAATATTTAATGTAATTGAAAATAGGTACCAAAATACTAAGTTTGGCTTGGCAGGAAGTAAGGTACTAATATAGAAATAGAAACCGCATATATTAGACCACAAAATATTTTAAAGAAAAAATATTTTCATTAAAAGTATTATTTATTCAAGATTTTGATTCACAGGTTATCTTAAGCTAAAAATAGTACTTAAAACAAAAGTACTTTTTCGTCACTTAGATAAAAGTTATTTGTCTTATATATAAAAAAAATCTTTTTCAATAGACTGCCTCCATACATGAGCTCAAATATCGTTGCTTCTAAAACCACATATTTATCATAAAGTCCACGCTTCTTTAGACCACAAAAATTTTAATAAAATGTACATAAATTGTTTAATATATTTTTATTAAACAATTTTTTTATACCCAAAATCAGCAGATGGTTGCTATATGAATATTGTTATTTTGCAAATATTAGTTATAGATCCAGGTAAGTATCAGGTATACTTTCCTATTCTAGGGTTCTTATCTTCCTTCTGTTGAAAACATGATAAAGTTGGAAACCAGATAATATTTATCTTATGAATCTATCATATTAGACAATATCGATCCATGTTCTTGCCTAGTGAGGTTGTAGAAGTGCGGCCACTCGGAATACAGATATAAACAGGAAAAGCAGTAAAGCGATAAACAGGTTGTATAAGTAGTACATATAAATATTTCGGTTGGATAATACTGCGTAATTAATCTAATAAATAATGGGTCTACACCGAAGGCCATCGACCCCAACAGGGTGTCTGTTAGAGGAGAGTTAAAATGGATAATTGGTGATGTAAGTGAATTTCTTTCGATCAGTTGTGGAATTTATCACTAACTAACTAACTAACTAACTAACTAACTAACTAACTAACTAACTACTAACTAACTAACTAACTAACTAACTAACTAACTAACTAACTAACTAACTAACTAACTAACTAACTAACTAACTACTAACTAAGTAACTAACTAACTAACTAACTAACTACTACTAACTAACTAACTAACTAACTAACTAACTAACTAACTAACTAACTAACTAACTAACTAACTAACTAACTAACTAACTAACTAACTAACTAACTAACTAACTACTAACTAACTAACTAACTAACTAACTAACTAACTAACTAACTAACTAACTAACTAACTAACTAACTAACTAACTAACTAACTAACTAACTAACTAACTAACTAACTAACTAACTAACTAACTAACTAACTAACTAACTAACTAACTAACTAACTAACTACTAACTAACTAACTACTAACTAACTAACTAACTAACTAACTACTAACTAACTAACTAACTAACTAACTAACTAACTAACTAACTAACTAACTAACTAACTAACTAACTAACTAACTAACTAACTAACTAACTACTAACTAACTAACTAACTAACTAACTAACTAACTAACTAACTAACTAACTAACTAACTAACTAACTAACTAACTAACTAACTAACTAACTAACTAACTAACTAACTAACTAACTAACTAACTAACTAACTAACTAACTAACTAACTAACTAACTAACTAACTCTAACTAACTAACTAACTAACTAACTTGTGCCGCCCACAGTTGTCGTAGTCCTACCGCACTAAATATTTCCAAAATGTTTTTTATAACTTAAGTATAACAGCGACGAGGCGAGGAGGCGGCGGACGGTCCATTTTCGCAATATCCGTAAAATAACAGAATTGAATATTTGGGACACAAGTATACAGTCGCGAGGACTAAAATATCAAAATAAATAATAGAAATAATTTAGTAAGAAACTTAATAAATCTTCTTTAAGAAAAAATTCTTGTAAGTACTCAACAGTTATAGTTTTGTTTATCGTTTATTAATTTAGGTTATGGTTCTTCCGACAGTCAAGCTAGGATTGTACGACAATGGCCAATTAAGATACACTTAGTTAGTTTGAAAGTTAGTTTGAAAGGACGTTGTATATGTATGTATGTATATGTATACATCAAATCTGAAGAATTAAACCTAGACCTTTAATAGGCCTTGTTGTGCGCTCCTTAACCAGTGGCTCAGGTGGGAATTGAACCCAACAGTAGAACTCTAACCACTAACCTACCGATGGAGGCCACTTACTTTTCAGTTGAATGTTCATGGTTAGTTTTTGGTCCTTCCGATTGGGAACCCTGAATTGATTTATACTTTTTTGAAAAAAAATTGTTAAAAGTCCTTTAATAAACACACAAACAGGTTTAGAAAAGGAATATATTGAATGGCTTTTTTATATATAGCATTAGTTTATGGTCCTTACGACTTTATAACCAGCCATTGGCTATTGTTAGGATTCTGTGGTTAAATTTTGAATTTCTGTTTGCCGACGGCTTTTTTTATAATTTAAAATAAAAAACTTGGGGATTTTTTTGAAAACATTTTCTTTTTATTTTTAGTTTCATTTTTTTATATATTTTTTTGTTGGTTTCTTTTCTATATAGAATTATTTTTTTTTTACTCATTTATCGATTTTTTTTTTCTGTTTTGATTTTTTTATATAATAGTTTAAAGACTTTTTCTCTAATTTAAATTTCTGTTCTTATGTTTTAAAGTTTTAAATCTAACGAGTGAGTGAGTGAGTTGTTTGGTTGGCATAACTGATTAAGGATTAGAGACATGTACAGGAAACGAGCGGAGAAGTTAGGAAATAGGGATTTGTTAAGGCAGAAAAAGGTTTTAGCGAAATTTTGAGTGAAATTTAAGAAAAAACAAACAACTTGTTGGTTTTTGTGTTTATAAACATAAAAATATTTTACATTTTTAAAAATTGTTTTTGTTTTATTTTTGTTTTTTTGTAAATTTAAAATAAAATTTAAAAAAAAAATATTTATATATTTTTTTGTTTTGTTTTTGTATACATAAAAAAAGCATAATTAGACTTATCAATTAAGAGAAGGAGTAGATAATAAACTAAAAAATAATAAAATATAATAAAAGTATAATTACAATTTAACAAAACGTTTATTTAAAATTAATAATAATTTTAATAATTTTATAATAATAATAATAAAAATAAGCTGTTCTTTGTAATATAATTAATAATAATTAATAATTATGAAATATAATTAACATTTTTTTTATCACACATTTTACAAAAAAAAAAATTTCAAACATTGTGGATTTGTTTTTTTTTTCGTATAGATTTTCTTTTAAATTTAATTTTCTTTCTTTTTATTTAGTTTTAAATATCTAAAAGTTTTCAGGAATGCAGCTATGAGGCGGAATGTTATCGACGTGTGTGTATGTGTGTGTTTCAAATGAAAATCTATAGTTAGATACAGAAAGAGAGAGAGAAAAAAACTTCACTTCAATTTGTTCATTAAAAAACTGTCTGTCTGTAACACTTTTTCTTCAGCTCTAAAACTTTTTTTCAACAAATAAAAAAAAAGGAAATTATGAGGTTTTTTGGTGTATGATACTCTCTATTACGTTTAAATTTCTTTGCTGTTTCTTTTTTTAATTATTTTATATTTTATACTTATTTATTTTATATATATATATTTGTGTTACTTTTACTATATTTTCTGTTTTTATTTTAACGTTAATATTTACTTTTAGTAGCGTATAATTACTATTTTTTTTTTTTATTTTGTTTAAATTACTTTAATATTTGTTTTTTTAAAAATTTACACTTGACAAATTGTTATCTGTCGTTTTACGTTTAATTAACGAGTTTTTTTTTTGTTGTTTATTTGTATTTTTACTTCATTTACAACTAACGCCAAAACTTATTTATTATTAATTTAATTTAAATTAAATTACAATATTTGTTTTAGTTTAATTTTTGTTTTCAAGTATTTTACAAAGTGGAAATATCCAACAGTCCTGGTGCATCGTGCGGATGATGGTGATGATGATTGTGGGGATGGTGATGATGGTGGAGAGGATGATGATGGTGGGGAGGTGTAAGAGTAGAATAGGAGAAATGATGACTGGGGGCATGGTGATGATGATGCTGTAGTAAAGATAAGGTATCATTGCCACAGCCATCTAGCGTATTAAAACCGGCGGTGGCGGCATTAGTACCAGCATTACCCAGTGAATCCACACAGCCGGCCGTTAGACGACCCATTATGGCAGCCGATGTTACAACCGTAGTTGGACCACAGGCATCCAGAGAACCCTGTTGTGTTTGGTAGGCCGCCGTTAGCTGTGCATTGTGATTGCTGAGGTGTAATGCTGGCGAATGTGAGGGTAGGGAATGAGCCGATGAACGACTGCCGCCACCGGAAGAACCCGAGGCCGTGGGACTACAGCGTCCATTAAGAGAATTTATTGTAAAGCTCTGCATGCTACGTCCTTCGCCGTTTGTTAAGTTTTCTGTTATAGAAATACCTGAGTGTAAGTGTTGTTGTTGTTGTGGATGATTGTTACTGTTTAACAAATCATTTTGTTGCAAACGTTGTTGTTGCCCCATTAACGGCGAGGATGTATTGTGATCCGTTTCCACCAAATGCATTTGTTCATCTTGTTGCCTTAAGCTTGAGCTGTGGCTGCTGCTGTTGTTGTTGTTTTGATTAGACGGCGGCGGGGCAGTTAGAGTTGTATTGTTTGTTAGGGAAAGCCCACTGCAGGAATTAACTTCCGCGCTAGCAGAAACTGTTGGCAGCGTAGCGTGTCCTCCATATGCACTTGCCATTTCTCACATATGGGCCAGAGGAGCCATGCTACGCATCGACTGCTGATGATGTTGATGCGCCTGATGCTGTTGCAAATCGGGTGAACTGGTCTGATAGTGCATCAGATTGCGCTGGTGATGCTCGGCGGCAGCAGCAGCTGCAGCGGCGGAAGCTTGCATACCATCGGGCAGGTGATACATATTCATAAGGTGGTTGAGTTCCGAAGACGGCTGTTGGGCTCTCACATATTCCTGTTTCATTATGTGGTTATTGTTGTTGTTGGTGATAACGGCGGCGGAGGCGGAATTCTGTTGAGCGGATGAGGGTCCCCCTGAACTGTGCATGGGGCTGGGCGAGACTGGTTCTGATTTAACGCTGGAATCGCTGGGACTATGACTTTGGCAGGAGACTTGAGAACCAGGCTGGCCGGAGAGTCCATACGGTGAACCAGGTTGTGGTTGAGCACTGCCTCCCCCGTACGGTGAGCCAGGCTGTTGTATATTGCCGTAGGGTGAAGTTTGGCCGCCACTAACGGTGCCATACATGCCATAACCACTACCAGCGGCATTCATATAGTTTAGGGAACCCGCTGCTGCAGCAGCTTGATGCATTTGTCCCATATCGTAACGGTGATAGTTGCCCATATAGGCGCCATGTTGACTTTGATAGGCTGCGGCCGAGGGATCATGCATTATATAGCCATTGGGCATATAACCATTGGGAGCACTCATGGGATACATATCACGATTCACACTGGCCGCCTGTTGAGCAGCCGAGCTGATCGAATTAGCTGAACTGGTGCGGGCGGTGGGTGTGCTGGGCTCTGAGGATTGCAAAAGACCACCTACACCTAGAGGATACTTCTCCTTGGTTTTGGTAAGAGTTTTTGTCTTGCGACGTGGACGATATTTGTAATCGGGATGCTCTTTCATGTGCACGGCTCTTAAACGTTTGGCCTCATCGATGAAAGGACGCTTTTCAGCTTCAGATAAATCCTTCCATTGGGCACCCAAACGTTTGGAGATTTCACTATTGTGCATTTTGGGATTATCCGAGGCCATTTTGCGACGTTGGCCACGAGACCAAACCATAAAAGCATTCATGGGTCTCTTAACACGCTCGGCAGCACTTTGGGCATTTTTGTTGGCGGCCGAAGAATTATTATTATTAACATTACCACCACCCGAACTGCCGCTCGAACTAAGAGGAGTACTTTGTCCTCCCATGCCACCAGAATGATGATGTGAACCATGATGATGTGATTGTCCCGGCGAGGTCATATGATGACTGCCTATGCTGGTGTGTGAACTTTGGGTGGGACTCAAGTCGCTGGAGCTGTGCAAGGGAGAATTATGTTGCTGTCCAGCATTGCCATTCAAAGTTTGGGCCATGCTGTTTTGCAGAGAACTTAAGGCACTAGAGGTGCCATTGCCGGCGGCCGTTGTCTGTGAGGCCAAATGTGAAGTCATATGATGTTGATGATGATGCGACAGATGTGACTGTGTCAGGTGTGATTGGCCCAAGTTCATTAGAGGACCCAAAGCACTATAGGGTGAAGCGGCATGACCATGCAAAGCAGCCGATGCATGATGTGGTGGCATGGTGGCATGTAATATGCCACCTTTCATATCTGATTCCATGGTAAGCATATTGGTTTGGTTATGTTATTTATTAAATCGATTTTTTTTGTTTTGGATTGTTTAAAAAGTTTGGTTTTTTTTAATTTTGGCACTTTAAAGGTCTGCTGGTAGAAAAGTTTTGTTGTTTGGGGTTTAAGTTAAATATTCAGCACTTGTTGTTGTTTTTTTAAAGAAATTTTTTTGTTTTTGTTTTGATATAATTTTTTATAACAAGTTTTCTTTGGACATACTGGAAACCTTTTTTTATGGGAAATTTATTGAGTTTTAATTTAAAATTTGTTTATTTTATGTTAAAATATTTTGCTTTTTTTTGAATTGTTTTATTTTTATGATTTAACACTTTTTGGGCCTTTTGTGGGCTTTATAATTAATATTTTCCACACTTTTTTTTGTTAATATTTGTGTAAAATTTATTTTGTTTTTAGAAGTTTAAAAGTAAATAATTTAATGGTGCGTTAAAAAGAAAAACAAACAAAAAACTAAACTATTGTTAAATAATTTTCTTTTTTTTCAAATACTTTTTGAAATATTTTCTTTTTTTCTCAGATAACACAATTGATTTATTATTATATATTTTTGTTTCTTTGTATTTAAATGTATTTATTGTTTAAACATTTGCGACGCGCGCTGTATACGACATGAATCGCCGAATTACAAAACACAAATGATCTTTTCATAAACGTGATTTCCCGTAAATCCCATGAAGGAAAACTTCATAGACGAAAGCTGGTGCAGCACTCACTCTCAAACACATACACACGGCGCACAACGAGCGAGCAAGCAAGCAGTGTAAAGTCAGTCAGTTGTTGGCAGCAGCAGCGATACGCAACTAGAACCTTTTTGGTATGACTACTGGCTGAATTGACGGACTGACTAACGTTGGATGAGTTGATGGTTGGATCTATTTTGGTGCGTAATTAAGTTGTGTGTTTGTATGTGTGTAAGTGCGTATGTAAAGAGCGTGTAAGAGAGAGAGAGCGACAGGGTTTTAAGTGTAAGTAAGGGAGATGCTGTTTCCACAACGTTCGTTAGAGGGATGAAATACCGTCAAACCGTTTGACAACTAACGTTTACAACTTAACGTTTTACACACAACGCGACATTAACGCTTTACAACACGTGTTTATTACAGCGTTTTAATTAAAAAATTAATCTTCTTGTTGTAAAAGTTTTTAAGAAATTTTTAATTTATAGAATCTTTTGATTTTATTGCTTTTGTTTTTTTCTTTAACAAAAAATTTACACAAAATTGTGATAAGCGACGCACAAAATACCTCCACACTGCACTAGATTGAGCACCTTTCTGTTAAAAGACTCTAAGCTTGAAACCTGTTTGAGGTGCTTGAGCGCAGAGTGAGCAAAGCCAAACATATACACACACACATAGCAAACGTATACACACAACCTTAACAATATAATGGTGTGTGTGTAAAAGAGAGTTTATTTTCCTAGCTGTTAGAAAGAGTTGGCTATAGTGTTTTCTATTAAAGTTGATTACCGTTGTTGCTGTTTTGCTTACAGCTATTCTAGAGTAGTATGTGTTCGTGTTGTGTGTGTGAGTTGTGGTTGGCCCTGGTTGTATGTTGTTGGCTTGGGAAATAAATCATTTCTTGTTTAGGTTTGTTGAAATGTGGGTTGGATTTTGCGCAATTTTATACTCTATATTAAGATAGTCATTTAACCAATCAACAGCCAGCTAGAGTAAAACAAACTGTTAGTTAGTAGTAAAAAGGTCTCTTTCTAACTAATGGTTATAGGGTTGCATATCGATAAAGGTACAGTAAATTTGTTTTTTTCAATGTAATAAAGAGCAAGAGAGGCAAGTGTATTAGGGTTTTTTTGGTTTAAAGAGTTAACTTTTACATGATTGCCAAGGCTTTTGCTATAAATTTACGCACTTATTTTTTCGCCTGGGTCCTGAGCACAGTAGAGCACGCATTATAGCAGGAAATGTTGCCAAATTTCCCAGTGTTGAAGCTCTCAGAAAAGTTTTATAATCAAATGATAAATGTTGTTTTAAAGCCGGCTATTAAAGAGCTAACCATGCTAGAGAGTAAATTATATACCAGAGAGTGTTTTTGCTCGAGAGAGAGAGAGGGGGTGGGCTATGGGCCAACCAGCCAGATTAGGTGGTTTTTGGCCTCACCATTTACTATGTACATTATTGGACAAAAAAAAAAAAAAAAAAACACAAGTTAAATTTTGAGTATGTTTAAGTGAGTGTTGGTGTTATGCTATGCTAAGGAATGTTTTGTATACTAGTGTATACTTTAAGGTCGGTTGGTCGGTCGGTAGTACGTTTGGTGTGGTTGCTGCTGGTTGCTTGCTTGCGCTAACAAACTTGCTGTGCCAAAATGAAACAAAAAACTAACGCGTCGCTACTTTTCTTCTTATTAACTTAATGGATGTGTGTAGATTGATTTTTTTTTTGCTTTCTTCAGCTTTTTCTTCGCATTTTAACAGTTTACTTGATGGGTTTTCATTTTAGCCAAGTTTTTTTTCTTTTTTGGTTTTTCTTTATTTCATAAGAAAATGGAAAATAACAAGTTAACACTTAAATTTTGTTAAGAAATTTAAGTTAACTTTTAGTTTTTCCTTGAATAGTTAAATAAAACTATTGATTTTTCAGCAGTAAACTAAAAAAACTTAACAATTTAGAGGTAATAATAGATATTGGATTAAATCAAATTCTCCGTAAGGATCCACTATTCAAACGTACTTTGTAAAATCGCAAAACATATAGAAGTCAAGGTTTAAAGTATAAAATTTATAAAAATTTGGAATTTTTTTAAGATTGTAAACATTTTCTTTGAAAAAGCTTTAAACTTTAAAAAAGCTTTATATTTATATTTCGTACTCCCTAAAAATCTGCAAATCCAAAAAACTGAGAAATTTGTCCACATTTGATAAAATTCTGCCGATTTTGTTATTTTTGAAGATTAAAAAACCCTTTTTTAAAACAAAAAATTTAAACAAACTTTTGAAAAAAGCTTTATATTTTACTTAATTTATAAAAATCTATAAGTCAAAACAAAAAATTATATAAACTAAAGAGATATTGAAAAAATTTGTATGATTTTATGGTTTGGAACAAGGTTTCCCATTTGTTTAAGAAAAGCTTTAAAAATTCTTTAAAAAAGCTTTATAGTTTTCAAACTCTGTAAATTGTTATAAAAAAATCTTAGAAAAAATGAGGAAAATTATGAAATATGGATAAAAATCAATTGATTTTAAAGTTATATAACATATTATTTAAAAAAAGCTTTAGATTTTATGTATTTCTAAAAAGCTATAAATTTATATAGAAAACTTTGAGAACATGAGGACTATTATTCAAAATGGGTAAAAATCTGTTGATTTTAAGGTTAGAAACATTTTGTTTAAGAAAAGTTTTAAAAGCTCTTTGAAAAAAGCTTTACATTTTTTCAAATTTCTAAAAATCTATATATTAATATAAAAAACATAAAGAATATTACGTTATTTTTATTTATTTCAACTTAAACCTAAGAATAAATTCTAAGTCTAAGAAAAATAGCATAGAGCACTAGCATCTGCGGCCATCAGCTCGATAATTACGTTAGAAAACATTCAGTTTAAAAAAAAGCTTTGAAGATTCATTAAAAAAGCTTTATATTTTTCCATATTTAAAAAAAAACAGTATAAATTTTTTTAATAAAATAAAGAAATTTATAAAATGTTGGTTGCTGATTTTAATTCTACAAAACATTATACTTAAAGAAAGCTTTAAAGACTCCCTTAAAAAAGCTTTTTAAAGAATTAAGTTTATATATTTCAAATTTCATATATTTTTTGGAAAAATATGGAAAGTTATAAAGTTTTGATAGAAATGTGTGGATTTTAAGTTTACAAAAGATTTTATTTTTAAAAAGCTTTTAAAAATACTTTTAAAAAGCTTTAGAGTTTTCCACATTTCTACAAAGCTGTCAATTTATAAAGAAAACTTCGAGAACATAAGAAATATTATAAAATTTTGTTAAAATTCCGATAATTTTTAGGTTTTGTAATCATGATAATGAGAAAAGCTTTCAAAAGTCGAAAGTGCACGATATTTTTAAGAAATTTTTTATAAAGAAATGTTGATAAAGAAAGGAAATTTTAAGCTTTTGAATAAAAATCTTTTAAATGTAAAAATCAAATAAATTTTTAAAAACTTTTTGAGAAATATCTCTTGATTTTGATAAAGAAAACATTTTGTTTAAAAAAGCTTAAAATAATCCTAACAAAAAGCTTTGTTTTTTTACAAATTGAATGAAATATTGGAATAAAAGTAAAAAATTCTGGAAATTATAAAATTTTATGGGAAACCTAATGTTTAAAAAAGCTTTAAAAAAGTCCTTCAGATTTGCCTCTCTTTTCCTTCAAGCTTCGGTTAACTTAAATTGAATATTTTAATAAAACTTTTCAATTTAAATTTTAACAGGAAAACTGTAGTTTTGACAAAATGACAAAAACTTCCTTTTTACTGTTGTTGTTGTTGTTGCTGTTGTTATTGCAGGCTAAATACAGAGATAGAGACCCCTCCAGTCAGTCAGTGGTACAAAATGTTGCAGACAAACATATACATTCATACATATCTATATACAAACCGACAACATATAAAACAGTGAGACAACGACATTCATTAGAATAGGTTTGGTTGGTGGAACAACATGTTGTGGAAGAAGACAGAGAGCAAATATATATGTACATACATACTAATGTTGTTGATGCTGATGATGCCTGATGTGCCACACAATGGAATATGTACAAAACATTGCTGCTGCTGACTTATGGTTTATTGTTGTTGTTGTTGTTGGCAGAGCCATTGCTACTATTATTATTGGGAGCACAACACAAAACAATCGGCAATACTTAAAACGGCAGTCTGCCTCAGTCTCAGTCTTCCTGGATGGATGACTGGTTGGCTGGCTGGCTGGCAGGCTGTTAGGTTTGCTGTTTGGATGGGCTGACTGTCTGACTATATTGGTACAATGCGAAAAATAAGCGAGTAGTTAAACAAGTGACTGAATGACTGAGTAAATGAATGAATGAATGGATGAATAAATGAATGAATGAGCTAGAGCAAACGAATGAACAAAACAAACAAAGTTGTACAAATCCTCGATTGAAAAGAAACAAAGTCAAGGTCATTGCAAAGAGTTTAATTGTTCGTGAACAACAATACTACTCATGCAGTAACAACAACAACACAAAACGCCAACAATAACAAAAACCCAACATCAACATCATAAAATGAAATAAACAACTCGAAACCAAACAAAACAAAAAAAAAATAATATAAATAAAAAATAACACACATACATACACACACTCTACCCAAAAAAATACTCAAACATAAACACTTTTACAGCAAAATATAAAGAAAAAAATTTAAACGCCATTTTTTTAGGAAAAAAAGGCAAAATACAACTCTGTTATGAAAAAACACCAACCCAAAAATTTTTACAGAAACAAGTGTCTCAATGCTGGCAATTGCATTTACAGAAAAAACAACAACAACACATATTTTCAACAGCCAAAAAAATGGCGTAAAAAGCAACAACAACTAGTAAACAAAACTTTTTACCAAATAACTAGCAAAAATACTTTTTGTTGCTATTATTATTTTACATATAACAAAAGCGGACCATATAACGGTCGTAGACTTAGACGCCGCTCTAGAAAAACAAAACAAAGACTCAAACAAAAATACTATTTAAATAAAACCAACAACAAACAAATACTATTTTTTATACTATTTGTTTTTAACACTTTTTTTGTTTGTTTTCCTGCTGATGCTGCTTCTTCATTTAAACTACAAGAAAAAAAAAACAAAACAACAAGTACCATTAACTACTCACCAAAAATAACAATAAAAAATCCATAACAAAAACAAAACCAACAAAAATCGTAGTAAAATTGTAAGTGTTACACTAGCAACACTAACAACAATTAAAATGAAATCGAAATTCAATGCATCTTTGTATGAGTAATAACAATAATAACAATCATACTCACCATTGTCACTCTAAGAGAGTAAATTATCATCCTGTGTTAGAGCAAAACAAAAACTAACTTCTCTGTTTTGTTTTGATTACTGCAGTTGATACCTGTAATTAAGGCAATTAATTAGTATGAGATATTATGTTCTGTATTTTTTTAAACATTTTCATTTAGTAATTGTCATTTTTATTGCCAGTAATTTAAATTTTAACAAACAGAAACTTTAAATATTAATTGGAAAAGTGAGTGAGAGCATTTTTAATTTGATTTTATTTCAAAAATGTTCCT